GAAGGGCTTTAAAGGTCAACACCAGCACCTTGAATTGGACCTGGAAACAAACTGGTAGCCAGTGCAGCTCATGAAGCAGCAGTGTAACGTGTGTTCTACTAGAAACACATATAACTGCTCACGCCGCTGCACTTTGCACCAGCTGAGGTTTCCAGATACTCTTCAAGAGCAGCCCTTGAATTGATAGTAGTCTTAACTTTTGATTATTTGTGAATATTTGACCAACATGATTTCTTCAAATAATATATTTCATTTGCAGAGGCATTACATTAAATTACATCAAAATGATGGTAAATCTTTTGAAAATTTTTAACTACTGATAAAATAGATAATTTGGGATAAATTGATTAAAAATGTATTGCATAGAGATTTAGGCTTACAACAGCTCAGAACCTCCAGCCTAAATATAGCAACCCAGGTTTTATGTGGATTATTTGCCAAAACCTATGCTTAATTCAAGAAGATAGTTATTCCATTTCCTGGCATAGACATACGTCAGGATTTTTACCCTCTCTTATCGCTTTCTTCTAGATTATTATTTGAAAGTTCTAGATTCTATCTATCTTAGATAAAATCTTAGGAACTGACTGAGTTATCTTCTACTAGCCCCAAAAAGAGAGTACAGGGATCCAAAAAGAGAAATATTTACATGCAATTATGTTTTGCTTATTTTTTCCACCTAGGTAAATATGCCTCCTTTTATCAACTCTTTTAGTTGCTTCATAAAATTCTATTGTATTATTACATGGAATGAATCTATCTTCACAAATATGTATTATTTTAATTGGTTCTGTAGAGTAAAAACAACAACATCCAAAAGTTATGTATTTTACAAACAAACAAGTGATGTCTATAGCAGTGAAACTCACAATGCAGCAAAGCGATACTTAGGAAGGAATGCAGAGCAGCAAAATTACACAGTGTCCAGCAATGTTCCTTACCATTACCAATCTCTAATTAAGATCAGAGATAAGAATAGGCTCCACATCTGCTCAGACACAACAGCAGAATTGAAGATTATCACAAAATCTCTAGATTAACGGGGTGGTCATTTCAAATGTAAGGCACTAGCCACTAGGGGGCAGACAATACACTTGTCATTTTTATGCTTGTCCCTTTATAATGCTGTAATACCATACATACTGCAAAACACAACACAGTAAAATGTCTTTAACTCAGACCAGAAATCTATTCTGCATGAACAGCAACCTCAAATAGCTTGTCTTTGACAGCTGCAATTGAAAACATCACTATAAGGAGTACAAAATTGAACACCAAGTCAAAGCAACTGTTTGGCGTGACAGAAGCAAAACAGTAAAAACCAGATACTGATGAGCTTGTTTCAGAACGAGGCAGAACATCAACTGCTGCTAGTAATAATGGCTACACACTGGATGCTACAGGTTGTTTGGTGGTGTAGAGAGTCAGGGAGATGACCTTGAGGGAAATAGGCAAAACATTTACATAACCAAAGAGGGCTCTTTCTTGCTTTTATTTAAAGACTTCTGCAAAAATTACCATTTAAATGCATACATGCATACTACCTAAAGAAGTATTTTTCCCAAAATAACTTTGAAAATGTAAAGAAACTGGCATGTCTCACCTTCTCTACAGGGAGGAGTGCTTGCAGGAGTCGAACTGTGAAAAGCGAAACACTAACAAATGCCATCCTGTGGTGCGCTACGGCAAGCTCGGGTTTTTCTAAGCTGGTATTACTTTTGTGATAGCTCATGATTTCCCCTAATGAATCTAGGATTCCAAGCAGTTTTTCTTTCTGTAGACGAAAAAGAAGTTGCAAATCAATACTCTCAACAGAAGAAGCCAGGAATACAGCCACTTGGTACTGGAGGAACTGTTTGAAGACTCCCAGGAGAACTTCTTCATTGTTTAATTTATTTAGTTATTTAATTTCTATCTCATATTCCCATCAATGAATAGCATTTATGTGGGCTAAGCAAAATAAAAGTAAAAGTCACAAACATGTACTTCTACTACATCTACTTTGACTTTGTGCCAAAATATGGTACTTAATAGATTCTTGGACAATTAGCCTTTTTTAATCATTACAAATCTACAAAGAAAGTATGTTTCAATCTTTTTTTTTTTTAATACTATATAAGTAAGATTTGCTGAGGTGAGGTGCACTCCTTCACTAGTGGACAATCAAAGACCTACGTTAGCAGCTTATACATTAGTTTATGATGATCTCCTTTAAGAATGTTCTTTTGCTACTTGTTACTTTATATTTAAAGGGTTTATTAGACAACTAGGAAAAAAAATCAAGTTTGTCAGATGGTAACAGAAAACTTCAGCACATTATTTACACACCCATGCTCTTAGGAAGAAGAAAAAAAGAGACTGCTCTAGTGAAAAAATAAAGCAAGGACGCCTGAAGAAAGTGAGGAGGACTTTAAATAAGGAGGAGACCACATAATGGGGAGAAAAAGGTCATTCTTAAGTCCACCAATGACTTTTTATGGAATTTTATTTATACTCATAATGACTGGATTTAAAAAAATGAATAAAGAGAGAACGCATCATACAGTTTTTAAAAGTTACTACCCCTTCTAAAACCCTTATCATAAGGGTAGGGTAAAAACACAGATGTAAATGTAATATAAACACCTTAAAGATAAACAGATGACACATTTAAGATAAGCAGACCATAACTGCATGGAGTTGGTCCTTGATTATGGTGGTGCATAAATATAACTAGCAAACAAATAAATAAGCAAATTATTTTGGTTAAAACAAAAGAATTTGAAATTCTCACAATTTCTAGACCAAAGAGACTGTTGTCTTCCCAAACATCTTCAGACACAGCATCAACAATAAGTAGCAGATCTTCAGCAACCAATTCCAACACTTGTATGGTCATTCTACTACTACCTGAGAATTGATAAGAGAAGGAGATTACAGCAGTAAAGTTCCTTGCTACTGAATAATATAATACGTTAATTAGTAAGGGTCTCTTAATGAGGAAGTATTGAAATGAGGAAGACTACAAATTTGCCTTCTTTGCATTGTGGTGCTGGTTGCTCAGCTGAAACTGCACTACACATAATATCCAAAAGTGTTTTTGAACTCTTAATTTTTTCTTGCCAGAGGGACAGCTTAGAAGTTTAACATTTTCTAAATGAAACACTATTATATAATGCTACTATAGGTAGTCCTTGGCTAACTACAGTAATTGGGGCTGGAATTTCCATCGCTAAGAGATGTGGTCATAAAACATGATGTCACGTGACCGCATTGCTTAGCGACAGCAATCTCCGCAGTCCCCATTGCCATCATTAAGCGAGAATTGTAGGTCATTAAGTGAGGACCTCCTTGCAACTTCCTGCTGGCTTCCAACAACCAAAGCAGTGGGGAAGGCAGCAGGAAGTTGCAAGTCCCAGGTGGCTCATAAACAGGCCAGCAGGCAGGTAAGAGGCTGCTGCTAGGTGGGGGAGGGTGCACAAGGGTGTGTGGGTGACTGGTGAGATGCAGCAGAGCTGGCTGCTGCTGGGTGAGGGAGCATGCATGAGGGTGCAACCATCCCCAGCTGCAGAGTGGCAAGAAGCCCCAAGGACCACCTGCTTAGGAGCCCCCTCCTCCCATCAGTGGCTTACCCAATGAGAAGCGCCCCACATCACTTGCCCGGACTCATCTTGCCCATGACTCCACCACCACTTGGCTCTTCCAAGAGCTATGTCTCCTAGAATGCCCCTCATGCCCTGACTTGACATCACCCAGCCTCTTCCCTTCCTGGCGGAGTGGCAGCACATGCCTGCCTACCCATAGCTTTTACCCACCAGCCTGCAGGATGTTTCCGCAGAGCCTCCCCATGCACAGCCAGGATGGTGAGCCCAGAGGAGGGCAGGCAGGCAAAGGTGATGAAGGTCAGTGGGGGAGCAACGATAAATGCGAGCTGGCTCGAATTTTTATCATGTGTCCATAGGGGCACTGCGACAGTCATAAGTTCAAGGACTGGTTGCAAGTCCATTTTTTCAGCGCATTCGTAACTTATATTTTAACAAAGGCTTTCAGTACAGACTACCATGCCATTATAAGAAGTGAAAAGAGAAATAAAAAGTAACATATATCTGTAAAGAACAAGAAAAATAGAAAATATGATGCCCTCCATTTGAACACAATGAAGGCACTCAACATTTCAAAATCAAGCTATCAGAACTTAGTCTGATGCCTGAATGGTAATAATTGGACAAAGGCATTCCCTAAATAGTGTCCCACAACTGAAAACTGTTTACAGCTCTCTGTCTAACTTCCTTTTGGGAGTGCAGCCAGAACAAAGTCTCGGAAGCAGTCAGGCAGGGTTATAAGGAAAAAGACTTCACTTCAGATACTGAATGGTTGGAGATAGTTTTAAGCATCAGCCACAACTCTTCAAATTAGTCTTAGAAACAGAGTGGAATTAGAACAACTAATGAAATACTGGCATCACATCATTGCCTCAACCTCACCACTCTATTCTGGATCTTCTGAAGCTTCTAAATTTTCAAGATAGTCCCTTCCCACTGAAAACGCTATGAAAATCCTTCCTACCAAGTCTGCTGCTTTCTTCAGTTCTTCCCTCCATATGAAAATACATTATAAATGACTACCTCTTTATCAAAATCAATCAGCTAATTACAAATTCTATGCTGAAAAGAAGGCATTTTTCCTGCAACGTCTCAAAAAAGTGGAGCTATTAAATCCCACATGATCTCCCAATCCATTCCCTCCAACAGTTCTCCTATCTCTTCCACCCCACTTGTCAAAACATCCTCCTTTTAATCAGAAAGTAAAATGGTAAAAGACAGTAAAACTAGACAGCTTAATGTTAATGTAAAACAGTGACCTCAAACAGCTCTATAAACCACCTCTCAAACTGACTTAGCTCATATGGTTGCTACAAGGAAAGAAATGGAGGGAAGGAAGAATCATGCAGAATGTCCTAATCAACGTGAGGGAAAGATGGCATAAAAATACATTGGGTGAGCCATTCATATTTATGAACAGAAAGGTTTTGAAGAGTTAGAAACAGACAATAAAACTCTATTTTGCTTGTCAGCTTCCCTTCATGCAAAGTCATAAACTAGAAGGGGATAAGTGGAATGTAAGGCAGAGCCCCAAACACAATTGTTAATTTTCCAAAACATTGCAGTTTTCACAATGGCTACTAGGCAGATAAGACAAATTGCAAATGGAAGTGCTTAGGTTCACAATCAAAGCACATAGATTGCCACCAAATTCATGTCAAGCCAATTCTTTGTTTAGAAAGAGAACAGTCTGAGATAAAGTATGTTTGTATTATGGTAAGCAAAAAGCCCTTTAAAAATAAATGTTACCTGTTCTAAGAAGAGGCACAGCATGTTCCAAAATGGCAACACAGAACTGAGGAAGACTAAATTGTTGAAACTGTAACTCCAAAGTGTCCTCATTTTCCAGTTCTGGCAGGTCAATCTGACCTATATCCAAAGGTGATGGATTAGATATTCCAGAAGTTACATTACCATGAGAACTGCTTCTACTACAAAAAAACAATGATATATGTAAAAAGACACTATATTTCAAACAGTCAGCACTATACTAGAACAAACTAATAATCAGGCTGAATGGAAGAATTGGCGTGACAAATTCTTCAGCTCAAACCTCAATTGCTGGATCCACTGTTAATTCCACCCACATTCCTTCTCTGCGGATAAAACAAGTTTCTAAATCTTTTGTCAACAAGAACCTTACAGGTGGCTTATAATGCTATCAGACCTCCTAAAGATCAGATATATCAAACAGAACTGAAAACAGACCTTAACAAGTCAAAGAAAACTGAGAGGTTAGAATTCAGCACCACCAAAGGGAAGAAAGAATGAAAACCTTTCTTCCTTGCCTGCATCAAAAATATCAGTACTGGAGCTAATTTATCCTGTCTGGAGAGATAATTCCATATTTAGGATGCTGCCACATGACAGTCTTGCCCTGTGTTCCCACAAACTAAGCTTTTTCAGGTGATGGGCTATAAAGCTTCTCAAGATAACTACAACTTCAAAATGTTTTACATTTCCCTAAGCCATTTAGGTAGGGCTTCCTAGCCAAGATCAGCACCCTGGCTTGGTTCCTATCTATTTATCTACATCTTCCACCACAAAACTTTTATATAGCTCATCCTACATTTTGCTCAAGTACATGTCCAAATTGTTTATAGTAACTATGTGGTCAAAGATGGGAATCCATTGTGTGCTTATAGCTACAACGATATAGCTTTCTGGAAAAGGGTATAATCGCATACAAGGAGAATACCTTTTATGAAACATTAATAAGATGGAATTGTATCTTCGCTTCAATAACCTGGTTATTTTTTGGAATAGCAACACTGAAACACTTACATAAAAGGAAATAACAACATTCCAAATAATCCTTGTTTCTACTTAAATAGCTCGTGGCATAAAACTGCATTTCTTCTTGACTGGAAAGTGAGATTAACGAACTAGATTGTTGCGAAGATGCATTTTTTTCCATCTCCTTTTTAATAAAATAGTTATTTTAGTTCTTGACTGAGCTTGTTTAAAGATGATTCCTTAATAAAATCTCATGCAGTGAACTAAGTATAGCAGTTATCAGTTCTCTGGCTTCCATAAATCCTTCAAAGGTCTTTGGAAGTCCTCAGTGTTGCCTGCTACAGAGAGAAGCACCAGAAAGGGACAAGAAGATTGAATAATGAAATTGAACACCTCATGACATTAACACATGCACTCAGCAAATGAAAATATGAAGTTCCTTTCCCATTCATCTCTAGAGGAAGTGAAGGTGTACTTCCTGGCACATCTAAGATAGTATAGGGGAGTGTTTACAATACAGCCCAATAGTTATAAGACTTGTTGGGTTGGGCAACTGTTTAGAATGGGGATAGCCAATTGTAGGCTAACCCCTACAGGTTTTTGTTCATCTACATTTCCCAACACTTTCAGTTACTATCTATACTGGCTGGAGCTGATACTAATTTGAATCTAACATATTGCAAAACTTGTATTTTGCCTGATTCTGATTTAAAGGTTTTAAGCTACCTCGGCAGCATTTGGGACTAGAAACATACTTCTGAAATACTATTCTGAATTTCATTTAAAGGAAAAAAAAAATCCAATGGCAGCAGAAGGAAATTTTAATTACTCCAGGCTTATAGGTATATTCCTTCTCTTCTCTCTTTTTTTTAATGTAATTTTTACTGAGTTGTTCAACCAATATAAGTAATACAAATAAGAACAATTAAGGACAAAGCTGACATTTCATTTCATTTACACTATTACTGAAGGGCGTACGTACCTACAAATTAACAACTAAATAATGCAAACCCAAAGGAAAAGAAGAAGAAAGAAGAAAGGAAGAAAGGAAGAAAGGAGAAGGAGAAACAACATGTATTCCTTTTCTAATAAGCATATATATTCCCAGTTGTCAGTCTTCTTACCTGGAAGATTCTGCATCCCAATCCTGACCATCACCTCTCGGACGTTGGCCTATACGTCCTATCACAGAAGGTCGAGGGCTGCTACTTCCAGGAGATGGATTCTGAGAATGAGCAAGTCTTCGGGCCTCTTGGTAGTATGACACTGAAGAATTCTGGGAAATGGTACCTTTCATAACATACATACATACATACATATATGTGTTAGACCGCCATCATATTGGAAACACATAGTTTTACTTAAAAGAAAAATCCATTTCTTGCTGCACAGGAAAAAAAAAAATCCAATGGAAACCATTATCTCTGCCTTCAGCCTGTACTCAAACACTTGGAAGACGCTGCTGTTTCAGATTCTTGAAATTCAGCTAGAAGAATTCTCCTTTTCCTTTTGCTAGAATTTGAAAAGGCAGCAAAAAGAGGATGAACAAATATGTAAAGGGAAAAAAAATGAATGAAAAGCAGAACAGGATTAATGCATACCTAAGCGGGAACCCAAGTTGATAAAACACAAGGTGGAATGGCTGGTTGTATCTATGGCTTTAGCTAAGGAGCTTCAAATAAAGCTCTTGCTGTAACAGCTACAAAATATTCCCATGTGTGGAAAGCAGGATACAGACAACATTTCTGGAATCATTTGTGACTCTACTTGGTTGTACCATTACATGAGGGAAATCCTGTAAAACGCTAAAATAAAGACAGATCCAGGATCCATTGGATGTTACATGGTATGCTGAAGATAAATAATATTTATAATTCCATTTAACTGGTTGGAATGATTGCTCCCAACAGTCTGCTATATCCTTTTCACTATTTTATTAACTATTACAACCACCATTACATTTTCCTCATTAACATTTTAGATAGAACAGACTCCTTAACCACAGGAAGCAAATTGAGTTTGAAACCCTGAACACTTCTTTTTTTACACCCCATAGTAAAAGCCATTTGAGCAATACACTTCTACATCTTACTTAAAACAGGGGGGGGGGAACACCATCATTAAGTTAATGGTGAATAAAACAGACTTAGTTTATCCCGATTAGCTGTATGCAAACCTGTTTCACTTGAGACAAAACCTGGATCTCTATGGAAGTTCAGTCTGTTCCTTAAGAAAACACAAAGTTGCTGTAGACATAAGATTGCCTGCAATGCCAAATGGTGTTGTCCATCTTTTGCAAGAGCTAGTGCTGTTAGACACAGAAGGCTCTGAAATAAACAGAAGTGCATTTTGTTGTCATAAGAAAAATACTTTTAAATTATGTGTGTATGCCTGCTTAATATATTCAATATACCCCAAATATGTATGCTAATGCTTCTTTCCTAAATATTTCTTGTAAGCATTGCAAATCAGAGACAAACACAAATCCATGGAATTTTTGCTGTGCAATCATTCAGGACTTTGAAAATTTTACAGCTTTATGTTTTGATAGATTCTTTCAATATAAACATTTGCATTTTGGTAATTGTCCATAATAAAGGACTGACTGACTATAACACATTTGCTTTTCTGAGACCATATACCCAGGACAATTTTTATTCAGCAGTCTAATGTACTTTATTCATGAGAGTTTACTCCCTTGTAAACACACTTAGGAATTGCAATTTTCTATGAGAGTATAAACATCTATCCCTAGAGCTTTATACAATACACTAAATTATAGGCTAGATATTAAATAGAGTCATACCCATGTAATCAAAGCAATTCTTACTTTAGATGAATCTAAGGAATGTATCAGGCAAACATTACCTATGTTTCCCACATTACACACATGATCAAATGTCAAGATTATGTTAAAAAAGAAGACACACATACACACTCATACACACACTTGTCAGAGAAGCCCACACTGTTCATATACAATGATGAAGACAAGGTTTCCTCCAGGCCTGGAGCTAAAAGAGACAGGACTCTCAACATTCAGTTCATTCCTGAATTTTCTTTGGTAAAGATCTGTCAGGCGTAAGAAGAGAGCCATAATAAACCACTACTTCCCACTTCCAATTCAAAGCCCTAAGATGGAACAGAGATGTAAAAGCTTTCACTTCTTCATATTACTCCACTTCAGTATGTGTCCATCTAGTGCAGGACAGGAAAAGCAATTTTTTTCTCTCCCCATCCCTGGTCTAAACCACTAGATATGGGCCATATTGCTATACATAATCCAAAGTCCAACCTCGGTTCTGGAGAGAAACTGGTACACTGAACTTACTGTGAAGGTCTTTTCTATAAGGGAAACAGGACATCTGACAATAGGTAACCATTCTTGTCCTCTCCCCAGGGGGCTGTCCCAGAGAGAGAGCACTTTTTTCAAATTCTTGGGGCAGACAATCGATGGTGTGGGTGGAATGGCCTTACTGGATACTTGGGGGCCACTGAAATGCTGGATGAACTGGGCCTTGGATGGGGGATAGTACAAGAGAGAGCCACTGGAATAACGCCAGCATTTCAACTTCTTTGGTGGATGGTAGGGAGTGGGTTGGGCCTCTAGCACCACCAGCTTCCATTTCCTCTGGAAAATACCTGCCCTTCAAAGTAGACCAGACTAGGAAACCGAAGTCATGTAGCTGGGCACACAAGTTCCTGGATCACGACCACTGGGGTACTGCGAAGGCCAGAACTTTGAGGACCCCTCACATGTCCATTTTTTGTCAGGCCCAGCCCAAGAATAATGGTGAAACAATCCAGTTGAGTTAAGTTTCTTTATTTGCTTATACTTTATAGACAGAATTTTGCGAGACTAAATCTATACTAGTGCAACAAGTGGATATACCCTGGGAGATTCTAGGGAGTAGCTATCCTGAACCTCTTTCACTTCCTACACGCCTCCTGCTGACTGTGTTATCTTTTGTCTCCTTTCCCTTCCTGGAATGCACCCCCTCCTTCCTGATAGCCTTGATCTCTCACATTTTTTTCAGTGCCACTGTAACTTTGAATGGTCACTGAACAAATGGACGTAAGCAGAAGACTATCTGTAATTCAAGGTGGTGATCATACCTAATACTCCTGCCTATTTTCCCTACAACAACCTTGTGAGTTGGGTTGGGTTGAGACAGAATGATTGGCCCAAAGTTACCCAGCCAGCTTTCATGCCTAAGGGAGGCCTAGTACTCGCAGTCTCCAGGTTTCTAGGCCAGCACCTTAACTACTACACCAAACTGGCTCTCTTTATATATTATTATAAAGACATAGTAACAGAAACTTGCAAGTCTGAATGTGTTTCCTCTCTTCTCTTCCTTTATCTTTGTGAGAACTAGGGAGGGTCTTCTCTGAGATGCTTACTCAGGATACAGTTCTGTCCCAGACTCAGGTTTCTTTTATCTGACTGTTGTCTTGGTCGCAGCTCTTCCTCCTGTCCCTCAAGGCCATTCCCTTGTCCCACTACATGTCAGGAGAAGTGATGACAAGACTACTAGTGGCCACAAGCAGCTTACATAGCTATTGTGATGTTGGCTATGTTTCTGGGGGGAGGGGCATGCAGTAGGAAAACAAAGGAGCACATTGCACCCAACTGTCAGAAAAGTCCTTCAAAGTGCTCCAAGACAGCAAATTTCTATCCATGAGCTTGCTGGCTATGGAGTTTACTGCTAGGTGGAAGGAAGGAA